CCCCAAAACCCCAAAACCCCAAAACCCCTAAAAAATCTCAAAAAATTGGGCTGCCAAGTTAAAAAATCAAAAAATTTTAACACTGGTGAAGAATTTTAGCAGTGTAATAGGATAGAGAAGAAATTTAGGACTTTTTAGGGTAGAGATAAGGGGATTTGTGACTGTGGAGAAGGAGTTTTTGGGGATTTTGGAAGGGCCGAGTGGGAATAGAGGGATGTTAGGGATGGGCAAGTGAGAGGGAGGGAAATATTAGGAGAGATAGGGTAAGGAAAAAGTATGGGGATGGAAAAAGGAAAAGTATTAAGGATTTTGGAAGGATAAGATAAATTTAGTGCAATTTCTTCGGGATTAAAGATATGTTTATTCGGCGTAGAATTTAGTGGATCCTTCATTTAGGAAATTTGAGAGGGGTTTCTTAGTGGTCTATATGGAGGTGAGTCTTGGTGAGGTAGAGAGCAAATTATAGGAGATTGAAGATTAGAGACCGTAGCTGAATGTGTTATGTGGTTATTAGATTTTTTAGGGGTGATGGTATATAAAGTATGGAATTTTAAACCTTATGCTCAAATTTCAGGATATGTACTTAAACCTCGAAAATTGTGCCTTACTTTTTTAAACTCTGGTTTGCTCACATCTTTTGGTGGCTCTATAATAAATAGTAAAGTTGGATTGTTGGTTAAAATCAGCACCATTAGCTATGTGAGAATTCTTGTATTATGAAGTATTCAGCCACAGTATCTAAAAAACGCTGTTTTTATTTAAATGAGTTAATACTATTTAAGTTATATGTCATGATTAATTTTGAAACTTGATGCTCTGAAATTTCAAAGAGGGATAGAGCACTCTTCAATTAGATAAAACAGTCTCTACTTAGTGAGACTCAGGCTAAAGTTCAACTTTAGCTCTATGAAGAATAGATATTTTTACCTTCATATTGTACCTCTCAGTGAATTTCTTATCACAATAAGCTCATTGATGGATCTTTCTCTCTTTCAAATCTTTTCCATCATGTTTTTTCATGTGCTTGATCAGGTTGCCCTTCTGTATAAAAGCTTTGGAACAGATTTTGCACTGATATGGCTTTTGGCCTAAGTGCATACGTATGTGATCTTTGAAATTCCACTTTTTCTCAAAAATGGATCCACAGTTAGGCATCTTGCACAGGATCTTATTTGATCTTCCTCCCAGTTTTAGGATTTACTGAGTAAATCATATGATGAGGATGATTCTGTAGCAGGATCTCATCTCCCTTCCGATGATCATCTTCTATGTCTAGTTTATCCTCCATGCTTTGTTTTCCGAGGCTCATTCTAGAGATGAAAAGTCAGACATATATCCTTTAGTTATCAAATAAGTCATCAAAGATATATTAGACTTATAAGAGAAGCAAATCTGTATGGCAAGTTTAAGCTGAGAAAGACTAAATGCAACAAAGCTTTGCTACACTTTGTGAATATTTTAATATCAAGATGTAGTAACCTGTTTAAATTTGAATGAATTTTGGTATTATCTTGGTGAATTCTTGCAGTCATCAAAGATCCTTGGGGGTTCTCTGTCTCTATGCTTGTAAATCTGAGAATTTACCTTTCAAAGACCTGATTATTGAGTTGTCATCAATATCACATGAGCAGAGGCCTCAAATCTCTAAGAATTTCTTGGTGTAAGTTGAGAAACTCTGTGAGTAAAGACTTTTATCATCAGTGCTAGTGTCATTATTTCAACCAAAGGGGTTTAAATACGTTGCAAAAGCAGCCGAATTAGTATGAATCATCATGTTAGCCCCTAAAGATCAGTTCGCCTTCATGAATTGCACCCAGTCATGCATATTCCTATCTGCATTGTCCATAATGGTTTAGTATTAAATTCCGAAATAGTATTAATTTCAAAGTAAAGATTTGGAGGGGTTTTGGGGTTTTGGGGTTTTGGGG